GTTTCTAAGCTTTCTAAATCTCCATTTTCTGGCTAATGAAAAGAAAATAGAATTCCACTGAGTCTCCTAGCTACCTACTGCAGGACTTCTGTGAGGATCGAATGGGATGAGGCATGGGAAAACGCATCACAGACATTTGGTTAAAGTGTAAAATGTTTGCACCTGGCTATAAAGCAAGTCATGTTCCTGGACTGAAGAAACTGAAAGGAGGTTAGTCACTAGGGAGAGGAAGCCGGGTTTTGCTACATGACATCATTACCGGACGGACACTTAGCATATTAGCCTTTTATATATATATAGATAGATAGATAGATAATTCCATACCAGATAAAATTCCCTGAGTTGTGCAACCACCACCACTATCACTTTAATAAATTTTTCTTTACTCCAAAAGGAAGTTCTGTACCCTCCAAGGGTTCTCTGGGTTTTTTCTTTAAAGTACACAATCATATATTTTGAAAAAAATTTACCCATTTTAAATTATAAAAATTATAAACAGGAAAAAATTCAGGACATCAGTAAGAACCACCTCTGTTCATTCCCACTCTCCCAAGATAACTAACAGTTTTTGTGTATTGTTCCAGAACTTTTTTGTGTATGTACATAAAAATATATGTGTCTAATTTTTTCCCAATGGAATTGTACTTTTTAAAAACCATTTAATATATTTTTGTCATTTAAAAAATATTAGGCCTGGCCAGTGTGGCTCAGTGGTTGAGTGTCGACCTTTGTACTGGGAGGTCACAGTTCGATTCCTGGTCAGAGCACATGCCCAGGTTGCAAGCTCGATCCCCAGTGTGGGGCATGCAGGAGACAGCTGACCAATGGTTCTCTCTTGTCATTGATGTTTCTGCTTCTCTCCTTTCCTTGCTGAAGTCAATTAAAAACTAAATAATAATAATTTATAAAAAATATCAGTATTATTCCTACTATTGTCCATTTTGCTCACAATGGTATTCCCAGTGCATAACATGGTGCCTGGCACAAATATTCATTCCATGCATATTTTATTAGCTGCATCTTATCTAATACTAGAGGCCCAGTCTACTCCCTCCCTTCCCCCGGTCACCTGCTGCCACAGTCACTGCCACCAGCCAGTGTACTCCCTCCCTTCCCCTGGCTTGCCCCACCCCCTGGTCAAACCCCACCCCCTGGTCGAACTCCAGATGAACTGTGCTGGGTGGGGACAATTTGCATACTATGCTTTTATATAGGATTAAAAAAAACTATTTAATCAATCTCATTGAATTGAATTTTCCTTTTGTGTTTTAGATTATGATGTGATGAACTCTTCATAAAAATATGTCTGTAGGATAGTTTCTTACAGTGGAATTTTGGAATTAAAGTCTAATGTGTATAATTTTAATATATGCCACGGTTATGGACATACTGTTATTCTTTGTGGGATCCATTGGAATTTTGTCTAGATTTATAGATTAATTAGAGGAGAACCAATACTTTTTAAATTTTAAATGTTTTGTTTTAATAATCCTATGAATAGACAATCTGAATAGACCTATATCAAAGAAATTTAGTCATAATAACCTTCAGTATCATAAAGCACCTGGCCCAGGTGTATTCTACTAAACATTTTGTTTATTTTTCCATTGATTTTTATTTATCTATTCTCTCTCTCTCTCTCTCTCTCTCTAATATATATATATATCTACACTAATAAAAGAGAAAAATGGTAATTGGCGTACGGCGCTACCCTTTTCATTGGCTAATCAGGGCTATATGCAAATTAACTGCCAACTCAGATGGCAGTTAACTGACAACAAAGATGGCGGTTAATTTGCACATGTAAGCACAATGCAGGGAGGCGAAAGGGAAAGCAGGAAGAAGCCCCCTGCCACTGACAATTATCGGAAACCCAGGGGGGAGCTAAGAGCTGGGGGGCAGGGCAAAGGCGGCCCTGGGGCCCCGGCCATGATTGGAGAATCAGGTGCCTTTGTCGCCCTGGCCAGTGATAGCAGGAAGTAGGGGTGGAGCCAGCGATGGGAGCTGCGCACGGGCATATTAGCCTTTATAAGCTGGGGCTAACTAGAGGCCCAGTGCACAAATTCATCACCAGTGGGGTCCCTCAGCCTGGCCTGTGGTATCGGGCTGAAACCAGCTCTCCAACATCCCCTGAGGGGTCCTGGATTGAGAAAGGGCACAGGCCAGGCCGAGGGACCCCACTGGTGCACGAATCCATGCACCAGGTCTCTAGTTTAAGTATATTTGCATTCATTTCAGAGAGGAAGGGAGAGGGAGAGAGAGAGATACAAACAGTGATGAGAGAGAATTGCCGATTGGCTGCCTCCTGCATGCTCCACACTGGGGATCAAGAACACAAACCAAGCATGTGCCCCTGACTAGAATTGAACCTGGGACCCTTCAGTCCACAGAGTCAAACCAGCTAGGGCTCTATTGATTTTTAGAGAGAGTAGAAGAGAGGGGGAGAGAGAGAGAGAAACATCAGCGTGAGAATTCTCTTTTTAAAGTCACCTGGGTCTGGCATTTTTTGGAAGGAAAAAAATTTATTGATTTGGTTTATTAGTTAAAGGACTATTTTGACTATATTCTTGAGTCAATTTTAAAATATCTTTTTATTACGGAAAATTTCAAACATGGAAAAATGGAGCAAATCATGTAATGATCTCCCATATACCAGCACCCAGTTTCTTAAGTCAATTTTGCTAAGCGTTATTTTTCCAGAATTTATCTATTTCACCTAAGTTCCCAAGTGTTTTTGACAAAGTTATTCATAATATCTTCTCTCTTTTTTTTTCATCTTTTTTTACCTTATAATTTTGTCCCTTTTCATTCTTGATGTTGGTTACTTGTGCTTTCTCTTTGTTTCCTTAATTTTCTTATCAGATGTCTGACAATATTAAAAGTCTTACTTATTTGGGGGGGTTGGGAAAGGAGGTTGACCAGGAATCCAACTCCCAAATGTTTGTTTTACAGACGGATGCTACAAGCAACTAATCCAACTACGGCTGAACTTTTATTATTATTATTTTTAATCCTCACCCAAGGATTTTAAAATTGATTTTAGAGAAAAAGGAAGGGGTGGGGGTAGTGGGGGAGAAAGAGAGAGATACATCGATGTGTGAGAGAGAAACATCTATCTGTTGCCTCCTGTACACGCCCTGACCAGGAATCGAACCTGCAAACCTTCTGGTGTATGGGACGATGCTCCAACTAACTGAGCCACTGGCCAGGACTATTAATAATCTTTTAAAAGAACAAACCTTTGACATTGCTGCTCTTCTTTGCTGTGTTTGTTCTTTTGTTCATTTCTGCTTTCTTTGGGCCTGTTCTGTTCTTTTTCTGTTGTCTAAAGATGTGTATGTAGCACATTAATTTCCTTTCATTCTTCTTTTCTAATTAAGTGTCTAAGTCTCTAAATTTTCTTCTAAATTGCTGCATGTCTCATTTTTGTTATTGTTTAGTTCTAAAGTTTTTCTCATTTCTATGATCTCTTCTTTGATCTATACGTTATTTGGTCATACTTCTAAATTTGCAGTTGTGTGGAGTTTTCCCTAGTTATTTTCTTTTGTATTGATTTTTAACCTAACAGTATTTTGGTCTGAGTATTATCAATCTTTTGACATTGACTAAGATGTATTTTGACTACTATGGTTAATTTTTGTAAATATTTCATTTGGTTGGGGATAATTGTTTTACCTGAGCAAAAGCTTGTTAAATATGTTCAAGTTTTTATGTACTTAGTAATTTTTTATTTTCATAATTGACCAAAAAAGATTTGTGAAAATTTCTCACAATGACTGGATATTCTTTTTCTCCTTTTACTTTTATCTGGTTTTGCTTTATGAAAACTATGTTATTAGGTGTATAGTTTTTAAATTGTATCTTTTCGTTGAAGTCTATTTTATCTGATATTAATATAGCTACACTGGCTTTCTTTTGGTTGGTTTTTCCTTGTTATATCTTCTCCCATGTTTTTACATTTATATATTCTAGCTTTTATTAGATTGGTTTATCAGAGTATCTAGTCTAGTTAGTCCTTATGATGAGAAATGGAACTCTTTTTAAAAAATACTGCAGTTGATTTGCTAATATTTTAGAGAGGATATTGGCATTTCTATTCATGAGTGAGACTGGTTAGAAGTTAGGATGACATTATTTATCATACACACCGATACACCTTTGAGAGTGAAAGGGAGTGCTGATGGTAATTGCCCTAGGACAACAGACATACACTAGGAGCACCCACGGCAAACAAGGAGCACCTTTCCATTTTTCTTTGCTTTTGATTGCATTGTATTGTTTTATGTGAGGTTTGCAAAATGAAACAGGAAGCTCATGTGCCTTTTTACAATGATCGTGAATAGGATAAACAACCTAATATCTGTTTCTCTAAGTTTTGTAGAATTTGTTTTTTATTTTATTTATTTATTTATTCATTCATTTATTTATTTATTTTTAAATATTTTATTGAGTTTTTACAGAGAGGAAAGGAGAGAGATAGAGAGTTAGAAACATCGATGAGAGAGAAACATCGACCAGCTGCCTCCTGCACACTCCCCACCGGGGATGTGCCCGCAACCCAGGTACATGCCCTTGACCGGAATCGAACCTGGGACTCTTCAGTCCGCAGGCCGACGCTCTATCCACTGAGCCAAACCGGTTTCGGCTAGAATTTGTTTTTTAAAAGTCATCTGAACACTAGAAGTAGGTAAGAGTGATTGTTTCCTAGGGAGTGTGACTGGGCTCAGAAAGGAAGTGTTTACCTTCACCTTTTGTATTGTTTTAATTTTTCAAACCCTCTCTATGTTAGGGTTTGCATGTTTGTCTCTACTAGTTAGCTGAATAATCCTCAGGTAAGTGACCGCATGTCTCAGTTTCCTCTCTGCACAATGGAGGCGATCATGCTTACCTGATAGGGTCATTGTGAAAATTAAAGGCATGTGAAAGCACTCAAGGTGTTCTTAGCACACAGTAGAGTCTTTTATATTAGAGCCTCTTTTTCTGTAGCTTGTCTTTAAAAGCTAAGGTTTATCTTCTTAGATCAAGCTGAGACTATCTACTTGACCCTCTGTCTTCTCACAATCCTTTGCCAGGACTTCATTGACTTAACCAGAGAAACCAGACCAAGGCCAAAGGACCGCAGTGCAATCTGTGTGATTGACCTGACAAGAGCTGAGGAAGAAAGCAGACCTATTGCCACTCTTGACTTGACTGTAGAACCCGTTGCTCCTTGCCAGAAGGAGTCACCCAATCTTCAGACATGTGCCAGCCTCTCCAGCAAAGAGGCGACGGAAGGGCGGGTAGACAGAAGCTCTTGGCCTGCAGCACGGAGAGTCATTAACCGCGACCCTGTGGATGTGGACCTTTTGGAGGAAGCCACATTTGAAGGCTCCCAACCCCCTGCATCCATCAGTGGGGACTCTGTTTATCCAGCACAGCCGAACTGTAGCTCAGCTGCATTCAAAGATGACTTTAGCTTCTTGGCAGGCCTTGAGCTATCTTCAGATGCTCACTCCCTCTCTCCAATAAGCAATAATGGTCACAGCAGCAATCACAGGGTGCCCTTGCCATGCCCACAGCAAGATGTACCTTGCCCACCACACGCCTTGCCATGCCCACTGCAAGCCTTGCCATGTCCACCACGAGCCTCCTCCTGCCCACCACGAGCCTTGTCGTGCCCATCACAACCTGTGCAGTGCCAACTACAAGCTTTGCCTAACCTGTCTCAAGAAATGCCATGCCCTCAGAATATGTCATGCCCTCAGCAAAATATGACAAGCCCACCTCAGGACTCATGGCATCCTCAACATTTACCATGCCCACCTCAGGACTCATGGCATCCTCAACACTTACCATGCCCATCTCAGGACTCATGGCATCCTCAACATTTACCATGCCCACCTCAGGACTCATCATGGCATCCTCAACACTCACCAAGCCGACCTCAAAATACATCATGGCATCCTCAACACTCACCAAGCCGACCTCAGAACACATCATGGCATCCTCAACACTCACCAAGCCCATCTCAAGACAGACTCTGCCCGTCTCAAGACTCTCTGGGCCTACCTCAATGCGTACCTGGCCCACCTCAAAACATATCCTATCCACAAGATGTGGCACAGCTGCAAGACATGCCACGGTTACTGGGAGACATGCCACAGCCACCAGATATGCCACAGTCATCAGGAAACATGTCACAGTCATTGCGAGATGCTCCACGGTCACCAAGAGATGCACCACAGACACCAAGCTATGCACCGCAATCACTAAAAGATATACCACAGTCACCAAGAGATACACTGCTATCACCAAGAGATACACCACGGTCACCAAGAGATATACTGCGGTCACCAAGAGATGCACCGAAGACACCAAGCTATGCACCACAATCACCAAGAGATACACCACAGATACCAAGAGATGCACCATGGTCACCAAGAGGTGTGCCACAGTCACCTAGAGATGTGCCACCATCACCAAGAGCTGCACCGCAGTCACCAAGAAGTGTGCCACAGTCACCAAGAGGTGTGCCACAGTCAACTGGAGAAGTCTCACATTTACCAGATGTGCTGCGTTCACCTGGAGACATGCCACACTTGCCAGGAAACAGGCCTAACTCTCCCCCAAATGATGTACAGAACCATGACACTCCTATGGATGTCTCAGCTCCGTCTTCTCCAAGCTGCTCTCTCAGCCCACAGTCTCCACAGTCTAAAACTTCCTTAGAGAAAATTTCCTGGCTCTCTGTCCCAGAAACTCCAGCCAGAAAGGAGATAGCAATGTCAGAGCCTGCCAACCCCGGGTCTGCCCACATACAAGCACGAACACCACCAGGCGTGTTGTACCACAGACCCTGCCTGCATAGACTGAAGTACTTCTTACGACCTCCGGTGCATCACCTCTTCTTCCAGACACTAATACCCGATAAAGACGTAAGAGAGGTGAGCTAACCCTGTGGTCGGCAAACTGCGGCTCGCGAGCCACATGCGGCTCTTTGGCCGCTTGAGTGTGGCTCTTCCTAAGCCTTAGGAGTACCCTAATTAAGTTAATAACTATGTACCTACCTATATGGTTTAAGTTTAAAAATTTGGCTCTCAAAAGACATTTCAGTCGTCGTACTGTTGATATTTGGCTCTGTTGACTAATGCCGACTACTGAGCTAACCTATCTTCCCCTAGGGCTTAGATGTCCTCTGAACAGACCTAGAATAAGGTTAGTATGCTAGCAGGAATCCATGCATGAGAGAACATGCCCAATATGAACTTGACATTTCTATCTTTCCACTATTTGTGAAACCATTTAATGTATGACAAATGCTTACGTTCTGAATCTCAGTTTTTTAATCTATAAAGTAGGAATAATAATATGTATTTCTTTTTTTAAAATATATTTTTATTGATTTCAGAGAGGAAGTGGGAGAGAGAGAGAAACATCAATGATTAGAGAGAATCACTGATCAACTGCCTCCTGCATGCCCCCTACTGGGGATTAAGCCCGAAATCTGGGCATGTGCCTTTGACCGGAATTGAACCCGGGACCCTTTAGTCCGCAGGCCAGTGCTCAGTCCACTGAGCCAAACCAGCCAGGGTAATAATAGGTATTTCTTAAGGTTGTTGTGAGAAATGAGGATAAGTTCAATGTACAAAAATTGTTTTATAATTATTGCTGTTATTCCCAAATCAAACTTCTTAATATTTGTTCTTCTTCTGGTTATGAAAATAATATATGTCTATTATGGAAAAATTGAAAATACAAAAGAGCATATACAGAAGAAAATCACTATAATTCCACTACCCAGATAATAGAAACCACTTTCACATTTTTCTCTCCCAGACTTTATATACATACTTTTTTGGGTGAGAAAACAACTTAATATTTACTAGCAACTCAAAAAAAGAAAAAAAGAAAAAGAAAAAATGGGATTCTTCTCCTAATAAAACATTTAAAAATATATTTCTTCCTCTATTTCAGCACCTGAAAGCTATTATAACTCCCCCTAACAATCTTATCACCCTCACCCCAAAATCAGCTTAGGCTAGCTCTTGACTCTTCTGTGCTTTTCTTTCTATGTTATATTTTAACACAAATGAAATCATGTTATGTGTAAAATACTGAATTCTTATTTTTTAACTTAATATAAGCATTTGCCCATGTCATTGAACATTCTTAGATAAGGCCTTCCAGTCTTTAAAAAAAAAAATGAATATTTCAAAAGCTTTGCTGTCTTCAACTGTTTCAGAACCTTTTGTTTTTAAGTCTGTAGAAAACCCATCCTAATTTATTTCTCTTTATCTCTACAGAACAAGGGTCAAAAATTAGAACCCATCCCCCATCGAAGACTAAGAATGGTAACAAACACCATTGAAGAAAATTTTCCCCTGGGGACGGTGCAGTTTTTGATGGACTTCGTGTCACCCCAGCATTACCCACCCAGAGAAATCGTGGCTCACATCATCCAGAAAATCCTGCTCAGTGGCTCTGAGTCCGTGGACGTCCTAAAGGAGGCCTACATGCTTCTCATGAAAATTCAACAGTATGAATCTTAGATGTGGGCAAACCTTCTAGGGAGCCTAGACTGGGGCATGGCTTTCTCTTGCCTAGGCTCTATTCAGCTAACCATTAGAAAGGGTGCCTTAGTTTACTAGTGTTATCTGGATTACTAGTTGACAGGAAAGCCAGTCCAAACTGGCTTTAACAGGTAGTAAAAGAGAATTTAATGATGCATGTTACTAGAAACCTAGGAATAAAACGACTTAATTCAGTTCAAAAACAGTTACAAAGACTCATTTTTCAGCTCTGCTTTGCCTCCGTTTTCAGGCGTCATGTGGTAGCCTTCTCAGTCTCTAGCTTTTATGACACTCTGAGTGGGAGAGGGAATCTGCTTCCTTTATGATCACACAAGAGTTCTGCAATGGAGTCTTACAGGATTTAATTGGCATAACCTACGACATGAGCCAATCCGTGAGACAGTCCCTGCGAGCTGAGGGGTAGAAGTTATGACTGGCTCAGTGCACTTCATAGGCTTCATCCCAGGGTCCTGTGGTAAAGCCAGCGGCTAACTAATGAAAGTTGATTTCTTCCGGGCAAGATTGGGCCACTAATGCCTCCAAAAGAGAAAGGGACACTGGGTGGCAAAAAAAGAAAAAGAAATTTTACTACCTTCAGTTGACAGTAGTGTATCAAAGGGGGGTGGGCAAAAGCACTCAGGATAAGAGGAGGCTTCTTGCTTCTACCCTCTAGATCCCATCCCTTCTCCCACTAAGGTCTCCAGAACACTAACTTCATGTCACTTGACTTTCAGGCTCCATCCAGCTAACGCCAAGACCGTGGAGTGGGACTGGAAGCTGCTCACGTACATCATGGAGGAAGAGGTAACGTCAACGTTACGAGGGTGTGTCTTTTGCAGAGGAAATTTTAACTAGAAACAAAAGTAACAACAAATCTGATAGTAAGGTCTTTGGCCATTATTTCCTTTATACTCTCATCCCTATCAGATAATTCCTACTGAAATGGTATGTCCTGGCTTCTAATTCAAGTTTGAGGACATTCACTTATCCCTCTCTTTCTTGAGGTCCCATGAGCAATAATCGTAAATGAGTATGGGAAGAGGAGAGGTAAGAGTGATGACTGATGAAGCCAGGCAGAGAAAGGCAGAGGCTAGAGTACATGCAGAAAGGGCTGCAGCCAAGGAAGGAGGAAACCTGCCCAAAGGACATGTATGCATGGCCAGTGGACACACCACAATGTGTTGAGGGCCAGAGGGGACGGGGGGACGGTCTGGGTGGAGGAGGGCAAACAGACATCAGGAACATGTGTAATGTCAACAATTAAAAAAATAATAATAAATAAAATGGTGATGGTGATGGTTGCAGAACTTGATATATTTATAATAAATCATTGAATTATACATTTAAAATGGTTGAATTTTACGGTTTGTCAATAAGTTGTTTTTAAAAATACCAAAATAAATCAATTTGGGAAAGAAGGATATTCTCAAAATTCAACACCATTCTTGAGGAGGTGAAAGAAGTAAACTGATAATGTCAAGCAATGTAGAAAGGATATAAAAGAAGCTTTAAGAAAATAAAAAATCTTCACCAGAAACAAATGATTTTCTTAGAATACTATATGGATCTCCAGTGTAATAAATAATTTTAATATGGTCCTCACACTGTGAACACTATTTGGTTATCATGTTTAAAATCAATTTTTTACAAAGCATGGAAGACAATTTTATTAGTTTTGACAGTAGAAAATAGAAAAGTATAGAAGATAAAGGTTGGGAAGTGAAAAGAGATAGCATCTCTGAGAATAGTGGGGCTATTACAATATCCTTATCTTACAGCATAAGATAGAATGTATTATTTGTAGGTGTTGGAACATAAATTGAGGTAGTTATTTTAGGAAGAGAACTGGGATGTGGCATAAATGAGATAAATCCTCATCTAGCATAGCAGAAACCAATAGGTAATGTCTAAAGCTGATAAAAAAAAAATAGTATGATAAGAGCATTTTTTTTAGAGATATTTAGGGTAACCTTCAGAAGAGTTCAGGCTCTTCCCTGCAGGGCACTGGAGGGGACAAGTGGCTATGGAGAGGTGTCACTGGAAGACTCTTCATAAATCTAGCACACGTACTTGAGTTTTTCAAAAGCATTTATATCAATAAAGATTAGAGAAAAAAATTATACTTTAGAAGACAAAGGTATCCCATCCCTACATCCTCCAAAGAAAGAAATGGTAGATACTTAGAATGGTCATTCTTCTTCCTGTTGACCAAGAGTTTGGTTTCTAGGAAACATGCCTGCCCTGTGGTGTTTGAAAAGTCCCCACAGAGGCCAGAAATGGTTGGGTGCCCGCTCATTCTTTGAAATTTCAGAGCCTGAGTTCCCAGGCCTGGATCCCAGCGCTTGTCTCCTAGGAAAGGAAGCTGCTGACTGTGTGTGCCGCCTGCAGGTGACAGGTACCGACATTGGCTTTGGTTAGAATGGGCACCACAGAAATCACAGGGACACTGAGACTCAGAGGCCCTAGCTAATAAGAGGATCCAACAAACAAAGATCCGTAACTGAGGTCCGTGTGCCACCGAAGCCCACGCTCTCCACCTGCCCGGGTGGGCTTTCTCAGGGAGGGTCTTTTCACCTGTAACAGAAAACCCACCGCAGACTTGCGTACACAGTAAGGCTGTGCATCAGCTCACATTATAGAAGGTCAGCAGCCGGGGGAGGTCCTGGTTGCTTGATCTAGCATTTCAGCAGAGTTACTGGGGAGCCGGTTCCTGCCTCTGTTCTGAGGGCCACAGTTAAGGGTTTATTCTAAAACTGATAGATTTAGTGAGAGACTCACTTCCCATGGTCAACTCTTACCACCAGAAAGTCTGCACTCCTGAGCCTCCAGGAATTCCCTCTCTGCCCTCTTTTGTAATGACCTAGTCTGCCTGCTCTCTCCCTTTCCGGTATAGACACACTGTTGACTCGTGGCCTTCCTTTGACTAAGTCTTTATGAGAGCCCAGTGCTCACCGTCACCCAGGAGATGAAATACTTCTCATTTCTCTCCCACAGGGACAGCATCTGCCTGGGCGAGTCCTTTTCCTGCGCTATGTGGTCCAGACCCTGGAGGACGACTTCCAGCACATCCTGCGGAAGCAGCGCCAGCACCTGCAGCAGTCCATTGCCAGCATGGTGCTCTCCTGTGACAAGCAGCCCCACAACGTCAGGTAACCAGCTCTGAGCACTGGGAGGGCCAGAGCGGGGGATAGGTAGACCAGGGAACATCGGAGGGGTGAGCCCGTCCAGAGCGGGGGATAGGTAGACCAGGGAACACCGGAGGGGTGAGCCCGTCCAGAGCAGGATGGTGGGCCAGGGACAGTCACTGAAGCTATAGACCGCCCTAAGACACATTCTCTCCGTACCGAGCGTATGCTGGACACCAGAGCTTGCGTTTTTCTCTCAAGGCCATCAGATTTCCTTTGATCTATTTCCCTATTGTCCAGACAACCTCAGGAGATCTAGGAGAAACCTCATCTCCTCTTGGTCAGTCTAGGGATAGAGAATTAGTAAGTAGAGATTCCTCAAAGAGCACAGGAGAGCGTAGTTGGGTTTTAAATTAGAAAATACCAGTTTGAATGAGGGCAGTTCTGCCAACCATTCGGCTGTGTGAATGTAAGGCATCGGATGGAGGAGGCAACGGGAGACAGGATCCCACTCTAGCCAATGTTCCCAGTCACTTTCATTCCCACCTCTCCTGATGTGAGCCTCTCACTCACTCTACAGAGCGATTCTTGGGTTTAAAAATAGGCATTTGTGTCCTCAGAATGCAAACCAGGTCCTGCATTTGTGCTTTATCAGATGGGAAACTAGCTGTCTTTGATTCAGTAAGAGATGGATATGAGATGAAGGTTGTGGCTACATGGATGTATGTATGTATTTATCAAAACTCATCACACAAAACCTGTATGCCATTTATTGTATATAAATTATTCCTCACAGATAAGATTTTAAAAGAGATGGTAAGTCAGTCTCCATATGATCCCTTTGTACGGGATTTTCTTTTCTAACTGTGCCCACAACAGCTAAATTAGTTCCATAAGATTTAAGAAATATACTAGTCCTCAGTCCCTTCACCTGCATTTTCCTTTCCCACAGTGGTAACTACTTTCAACTCTTTCATTTGATTCTTTGGATATTTACATCTGTGTGGCTAAATAACCTGCTGTGTTGCTAATTCGTAACTTCTTTATTACTAGCTACTATCAATTTCCCACATGAAAGATGAGGAGTTAGCTCTTTTTGCTCCCTACATCCTTCCTCCCATACACACATTTCCCAGTCCCCATATCATTAATATAGTTATATTATAATTTTGTATAGGTCAGTATTTGATGTTTCTATTACTATGGCTATGTAGCTAGTCAGAGTTGAGTCAATTCTAAACTATGACACCTTTTTGTTTTCCTTTGAGTTGATAATTGCCTTAGTTTTAGTTTCCTTGTATTCTTTGTGCATATTGGAAATCAATCCCAAATTCTTTACTGTTTGGTCTGAACCTCCCCTCAGATGTTTATTTGCACTGGCTAGTCTTACCAGTTTCTTCTCAAATATCTATGGTGAAACATTTTGGCCTCCTTTAATCTAGATCGGTTGGCCTCTTTGCCAATCCTTACTGTAAATGAGGGAGTTCCCTCTGCCCGTTCCTAGTGTTGGACTCTTTTTTATTTGCTCTACTTCTTCTCTTTCTTGGTTCACTCCCTCCTTTTGATGGACCAGTCACCAGTAGAATCTTAGAAAGGTATGTGGGAAGTAAAATTTTTGAGATCTTATATGTCTGAAATTATCTTCCCACAAATTGATTCATAACTGAGTGTAAACATTTAGATTAGAAATAACTTTCCTGAGAAACCAAGATGGTGGCATAGGTGAACACCAGAGTTTGCTGCTTCGAACAACCACTTCAAAAATACAACTAAAAGATGGAACAGACATCATCCAGAACCACAGGAAAGCTGGCTGAGTGGAAGTTCTACAACTAGAAGGAAAGAGAAAAGCATACCGAGACTCAGAGGAGGCGCAGTGCGGAAGTGAGATACTAAGGTACAGAGGCGCACGCAGAGCGGCTGGCGGCTGAGGGCGTGGTTGTTGTTTTCAATCAGGAAGGAGTCTCAGGCTCTGAGCTCCAGTTCCAGGTGAGTCTCTGGGGACCCAGACTCATACGGGAGAAGCACAACTGTCTGGCATCGGTCTGAACTCTAGGGCAGCTTTCTCTCAGAGAGGCTTCCAGCGGTTGCGGAGACACTGAGAAGGGAGGCCAGTGGGCA